TCGATCAGTGCACGTGGCTTACATAGATGGCACGACACGCGCTGGCCGCCCGTCGACGCAAACGTGAAAGTTGGCAATATTTTATTAACAGTGCACAGCGCCGCCGAACAGTGCGGCCGTCTTGGGAAGGAAATCGTCTCGACAATTGTGGGCGACGCTATGGGAACAGCATCGAGCTTGTAGACGCATACATTGCCAGAAGTTCAAAAATCGTGGGAGTAGGGTGCAGTTTGCTGGTGTCTGGCTGACCCAGTGATGATGACCGTCAATGAAGACGTGGGGGAAGACACGACGCCAATGGGTTGGATTTTTGTCGATGGGACTGAGTGAGACCGCTAGCGCTAGTATCGATTATCAGACCTTGACATGCTCAAACTGAAGCACATACCTAACTCATTCCTCCTCGACCTTCACAAGGATGGACGATTTTAAGCGGCGCTGAGAAGCAAAAACGCCATCCCAAATGATGCAAGAATGGAGGACACGAAGAAGGCTTGCCAAGAAGATTTCGTGGATGTTGGAAGAAGCGGTCGAGGAGGAGAATTGTGCACTTTGTAAAGCCAAGTTGTATAATGACGCAGGTCAGAGTTTACTCCCAAGTCTCGGCCGCAGCGTCGCCAGCTGTTTACACGTCGGATTAGGGAGCTGGGATATGAAGATTGAGTTCCTGTCTTGAATCTTGCGAGAGACATGAGGACTTACCCAATTTCTCAATCGACGGCAAGGCGACTCATCGAGCTAGACCCGCAAAGTACCATCAGCGAAAAACAAAACGCCGAAATATTAAGAACGACTCACCAGAAGCCAACATTACGATGTGTGCCAGTGGTTTGTTGGCGCAGAGCGCCCAACAGTGACCAGAAATAAGGCCTACCACCGGGGCGCAGAGCGCGCCCAACGGTGGTGGAGGTCTTGGGAAGAAAACGGGGATGGGTGTGACATGACTGTGACATGACTGATGGTCACAGCGCCGCCAACCGGGGATGAACAGAGCGCGCTTTGCGCTTCGACTCTGTGTCTGGGATAGAAGGAAACATGTGCGCGCATAGCGCAGCGTGTTGACTTCGTGGCTAATCTGCTCGTCAACTTTAATTTTGATATCTCTCCGTGTTTGACCCGAACTTTCTCTGAGTTTTCCTTCAATCAGCTGTCCGAAGTCCCTCCCAAGTTCCGACAAGATCTATGGCCGCGTGTTGACTCGTGGCTAATTGCCTGCTGCAGCAGAACTACGCTTGCAGCCCAACAAGTGCCTGCTTCGCCATTCTGCGCACTGTACGCCGCCTCGATCCCAAACCCAGCACCGTACACCACCCAGCAGCCAGAAAGATTTGCCAGAAAAAAAACAGCAAGCCCTGCAACGGAACTCGCTCGTCGGACCCGTTCTGCGGGAAAGGAAAGGCCACCGCGATTGGAGACTGTGTTGCAGAGGCCCTAGACGAGCTTATGAGAAAGATGGTTCGTACTCGTCTAGAACTCACAGGCATAAATGCAAGGTTTTTTGATTCCACCTAAAGCCTCATGTTCATTTTCTCATGGACATATTCATGGCAAGAGCCTGAGATATACGATGTTTCTGACGATGGGCATGACTACGACTATGGTATGGAGGATGGGGTGTGCGCAAACTTGCCTTCCCCACAATTATCCATTAACTCTCGTTCAGGTCCTCGAACCCTCGACAATACAGAATCTCTTCCCAACAGAAGATGACGATCTTATTTGCGTGAAGGATTCTCCTGAGCGCATGTAACTCGCGTCTTGTACGCTTTCCAAAGCTCCAGTCACTCCATCTCTCTTCCGACGAACTTGACGATGCCGCTATCTGGGTGACTCCGCGCGTCTCCAAGAAGAAAGCCTTGGACTATTTTACCCCCAACGGCGAGCTTAACCCTTTCAGCCCGCAACTCGTTGAAGCTGTGACATATACTTTGCGACAACTGTTCATCGAGTCTGTTGAAGTACCCTTCATTTGGCATCACAGACGCGACCACCACCTCCTCTCTGGTTCTGGTTCTTCTCCGGAGCTCTTGAACTTGAAGGAGCTCTGTTAACGGGTGCTCATCGATGTAGTCAACAAATTTGGAGTGGACATCAATCGTGCCGTGGGGTGACGCGTACTACCAAACGCTGTTACCATCTGTGGTCTTGGTCCTCGCAGGCCCAGCAACTGAGCAACTTGTGAAAATGATTGAGCGCTTGGTAAACACTGTAACTCTTAGTTGTGGATATTGTCTAATTCTTTTACAAGGGCGAGAACATCATCAATCGGGAACAATTCATCAGTCGGAACTCTTGACCAAGTCGTTGTTCATGAATGCTGCCGGATTCATTCGAATTACGCGGCAGGAAGACCTCAAAACCCAGGGAAAATTCCGCGCAGAGGACGAGCACACTTATGACCCGCTAGACAACACACGAATCCACCCAGAGGACTACGAACTTGCGCGCAAGATGGCTATGGATGATATTGGCTACGATGAAGACGACATCCAAGACAAGCACCCGTCTTGGGTTGTCGGCTTGACCATGGACAATCCAGAAAATGAACGGAAACTTTCGGAGCTTGATTTGGACGAGTTCGCTGAAAAGCTTAAGGAAGCTAATTACGACCTCAAGCGCTTTACTCTCGATCTCATCACAAACGAGTTTATGCGACTGTTCGCAGAGAATCTATCACCCTTCGCTTACCTCTCAGGACCCGAGGTTCTCACCATGTTGAGCGGAGAGACTACGAAAAGCTTACGCACTCATCTCATTGTCTCTGCTGTGGTTCTGCAGGCAAACTCTCGCGGCTTGCGCGACCGATTAAACTCTGGATTCGAAGGACCCGCATAGCGCAGCGTGTTGACTCGTGGCTAATCTGCTCGTCAACTTTAATTTTGATATCTCTCCGTGTTTGACCCGAACTTTCTCTGAGTTTTCCTTCAATCAGCTGTCCGAAGTCCCTCCCAAGTTCCGACAAGATCTATGGGTCACGATTGCAGGGGTTTCCACGGTGGACAGGTGTGGTGACGAATGGAATGGACGACATTCATGCCATGAATGGGTAAAGTACATTCGATTTTTGTATCGGCCTATACGGGTGAACAGGCCCTTCAAAATGCACTACTTTCCATCCTAATCCATTGAGAATTGAGGGAGAAATCGTGGATTTTCAATTACAGGTACGCATTTCACCATAGTACCGTTCTGTTAACCGAGACTAATAAGAGAAAAGGTTTTGACGGCTTTGCTGGATGATATTCATTATGCTCGGCAGGCCCTGTCCATTTGGGCAACTCAGCTGGTTGGAAAGCAATGTTCGACAGAAGTGAAGTAACTTGCATACGAAGATCCCGGCCATCCGTATTTTCGTGCTCACATTCCTGCATCGGCAAATTCACGCATGAGCAGTAAGCGTACAGCTTTTCAGAAGACGATCCTCTATCGTTCAGCATGACTGCTGACACCCTCAAATCTCGGGCACCACTCTCCTTGACTCTTCTTCAGCACGATGATAAACCGATCAACCAGTCCCGCTGGCACTAGGGGATATTCCATCTATTGCTACGATGATAGCACAGGCCCAAACGTTCCTAGATTCACCAGCCCAGTCCTTAGGAACATGGTGTGGGCCTTAGCGAACAACTACTGCATCCATGACTCGTATGAGCGGAATCTGGGATGTTTAACGCACTTGGATGCTGGAAGCGAGTGGGGACCAGGGAGAGCTGTATCCAGTGGGAGATGCAGACACTGGCGCTTGTCGTGCTAGCTCGGCTTCGTCAAGTTGGCCAAAAAAACCCCGCGAGGTGAGGTCTTCGATACCGGGGAGTCGAAAGGGCTTGCTGAGCGTAGAATTGTAGAGTGCGTAGGTACCGTCTTTGCGTTCCATGGCTGGTGAGCGGATTGCGGAGGAATACTGACTGAAACCCACACACACCTTTTATCCATGTCCTTATGGTGGAGCCTCGGCTCGCCCATGGAGCCCAGCATCCATGCCAACAAGCCACTTCCATGCTATCCAACCCTTCCTTGAAGCTCGACGCGACTTGGACATGTTTCAAGCGCGAACACGTTTTGGAGCGTCATACGCGTCTTGTTGCGTGATCGTCCGCCAACAGTAAGTGAGGTGGAGCAGGGGCTTTCAGCGCTGCTTTGAAACCTGATGAAGAGCAATTGGGTTGGTGGGAGTGGAGAGTGGAGAGAACTGGCTGGAAGAGCGGGCAAGGCATGTTACGGCGACATTCTGGCGGGAGGAAAGCCGTCGAGTGACTCAGCAGCATCACCGGAATCAACGCCGGTCTCGCCTTATTGAGATGACAGGCCGTTGACACCGCGGCTGATAGCAAAAGTTTCAACGAAAATCGCTCCACTTCTCAAATTTTTAGAAGGAAATTACAAGGCAAATAGAAAAGAAAAAAACGCGTTTTTCGTGGCAGCTAATAAGCTCTAATCTACATATCATTTCAATGGTGGTGTATGACATCTGTGACATCTGGTCTGAGTCACAGTTGAATTGTCGCTCTCAACGACGCAATGCATCCGTAGAGTCCTCTAAGGCAGTGAGTGGTATGTCTGTTTTTACCTCGAAGAAAGTTTTCTTTGTTCAATTGTGGGGGTTAGAACCGTCCCCGTCACGCAGGGAAATCCTTCGAGTCACTTCTCGAATATCAACTCTGCCTCAACAACCACGGTATGATCTTGCACCTGAAGCCTTTCCTGAATACACATACTATGCAAGTCTAGATCTGAATGCTTACTGACCACCGATGTCTCCATATACCACTGTTCAACCAGCCTTTTGTCTGACCCAAGGCAACCAGTCTTTTTCGACCACAACTTACCTCCGCTGTTCTACCATCCAACCTTCACGCAGGGAAATCCTCCGAGTACAAGCTTCCACCTCTCCGACATCACCTCTGCCTCAACAATCATGGCATGCGCTTGGACCTGAAGCCTTTCCTGAATGCGCGCACTGGCACTATGCAAGTCTAGATCTTGATGCTTACCGACCACCGATGTCTCCATATACCACTGTTCGACCACCGATGCCTCCATATACCATCGTTCAACCAGACCGTTCGCCTGACCCAAGACAACCAGCCTTTTTCGACTACAACTTGCCTCCGCCGTTTTACTATCCAACCTCTCCGATACTTTGTCAACCGCCGTCACCCATGCTTCCATCGCAACTGCCTCCAACGCCGGTTACAATAACTGAGAAGAAGATTGAAATGCAGGTATGAACTTGACACCGCTCTTATCGTCTTGCGTTATTGACAACTTGAATGGCACGTTTAGTACAACTTGCAACAGCAGCTAGCATCACGCAATGCGATGTTTCCACCGCTCTCTCCCATCATGATGGGCTATCCTCCTCAGCCTGATTATAGGAACCAAATACTCAATATGTACGGTGGTGGGCCTGGGTTTGGTATGATGGCGCGCGGAAGTCGCCGATTTGAAACCCAAACACCCTCATTTAAGATGCTGGACCAGTTTCGTTTGGCTAAGGGCAAGAAATGGGAGCTCAAGAACCTCAAAGGTCATATTGTCAAATTCAGCAGCGATCCACACGGATCACGTTTCATTCAAACCAAGCTCAATAGTGCCACAAGTGAAGAAATCCAATGCGTATTCGATGAAATCGACCCCGACAATACATTACATCTAATTCAAGATGTTTTCGGTAATTATGTGAGTTGCTTCAACTTTTGCCGTCCCCAGCTTACGACTCTGCTCACTGCAGGTAATACAGAAGCTACTGGAACATGGTACCCAGGCCCACAAGGACACTCTTGTTGGTGCCATGGAAGGCCATATCATCTATCTATCATCCAATGTCTATGGCTGCCGCGTCGTGCAAAAAGTCAAGTCGACGTCTAACCAACTTACGAATAGCTAACAACAATGAAAGGCTTTTGAATGTGTAACTCCGGAGCAGCAAGTCAAGTTTGTTCAAGAACTCGAGCCCCATATTCTCAGATGTGCCAAAGACTCGAACGGGAATCACGTAGGTGATCTACCTGAGGCTGGGGAATGAACATGACTCATTCGCATCAAGGTTATTCAGAAGGTTATCGAACGAGTTTCCCCTGACAGACTTGGTTTCATTTCAACATTCATCGGCCACGCCCATGGGCTTGCTTCTCATCCATTTGGCTGTCATGTCTTGCAACAATGTCTCCGTCACCTTCCTGAACCATACACCCGGCCACTTCTCGATGAACTTACAAGTCATACCGCTAATCTTATGCAAGATCAATTTGGGGTCAGTGCTAGTACTTGCCTTTCTTTTTCCTCTTCAAGTTGGCTTATTGCGTTGGTTGTAGAACTATATCGTCCAGTTCATTCTGGAAAACGGATTGCCTTGCGACCGATCGTCCATTCTTACTCAGCTTCGCGGGCGCGTGCTAGCAATGGCTTGCCACAAGTTTGCCTCCAACGTCTGTGAGAAGGCGATGATCTTTGGTGACTCAGATGGTCGCAAGGCGATAATCGAAGAACTGATGGGACCGGCTTTGCGACCTGATGGCCTGACACCAATCGGGTTGCTCATGAAGGATCAATACGGCAGTGAGTTTTCCAACTAAGAAGACTGTGATAAGCCCTTCTCACTCGCGATTCAGATTATGTTCTCCAGCGAGCGCTTGCAGTAGCGGAAGGCGAGCAGAAAGAGGCTCTCACCAATGCTATTCGTCCCCAACTGGCCACTATGCGCAAACATGCTGCTTACAGCAAACATCTTGCCTCTAGTGCGATTTTCTTCCACTTCTCATCCTTCTGAAGCTAACTTTTTGATTCAGTCGAACGGGAATTATGGAAACACGCGCCCAAGCCCGATTGTGTATGTATAAGTTCTTGTCTGAAGAAATAATTGGAGATATATAATTGCATCACACACTGCGAATCCGTTCTTTCTATGTATATCTTGTTTTTATGGCCTCAACGCTCCTAGCATAGTCAAGCAAATACGTGCAAATAGCTGCGTCATAATGGCGATCACGTGTCCGCATTTTTCCCGCCGCCGTCCCTCAGGCGACCGTCAATATCGTCAGCGACTTGCGCATCACCACTAGGAAGCTCTGAAGACGCTCACAACAGCCAAACAACGTCGTCCGACGGTGACAACACGCTCACAAACCGGCCAACCCCTCAAAAACGTCCAACGGTCAATCCAGTCCCCATTTCCATGTAGAATGTAAAGCTGGGACATACACTAATGTGCTTAGGTGCGATTGGACTTGTCATATGTCATCTCATCTGAATTTCCAGGCAGATGCTTTTACGCGTCATCTGGGCCCTGGCTCTTTTTTCTGCTCGTGCTCGCTGTCATCAAGCGTCCTTTCTACGAGAAGGACTACAAGAGCACTTCGGCTCTTAATCGACATCTTTCCAACTGCTCTTGAAAGCCCAAGGCCAGCAAGAGAATGTGCGGGCTGTCGTTGCCCATGACGCGGATTTGGCAGCTATTCGGGAAGCAGAAGAGGCTGCTCAAGCCCAGATACAAGCTCAATGTGCGTGGCCGTTTTCGCTGTGGCCAATTAACCGCAGGCCATATTTCGAGCGAGGCGGTGCGCTGGATTCGCAGACGGGAGACCAGACATTTACGGATCGACTTTATGGCGAAGAGGCGGGGCAAGAACTGTCTCAGCTGGAGATTGAGCAACTCCAAGGTGCGTAACTGGCTTCTGTGATATATTCCTTTACTTACAGTTTGTAGAAAACAGCGTCAAGATGAACGCGCTCCTCTCGATCTGCGTGGAGAGTTGGAGCGTTACCAGGCGCGGCTAATAGAGGTCAAAGGGGAAATGGACGAGCTGAGAGAAGAGGGACATGTTATTCTTGGAACGTGAACGGCTGCGGCGCGAGCTCAAGGAGGCCAATGCAGCATTGGAAAAGTGGGAAGCGGCAGCAAAAGGTGCAGCTCCGCTTGCCCATGGCCAACTTGTCTTTCCATTGTGGTACACGTAGATTTAGTCTTGAAAGGGAGTAGAAGGTATGTATGATGAAGAGAACGAGGAATTATACAATGGAGAAAAGGTATAAGGGGGATTAGGTGTAAAAGGTATGGTGTTGGTCATGGATGAACTGGAAGACGGAGGGTGTCGGCCAGTATAGGCCATGTTTGTTATATCTACAAGAGGTGGACGAGGAAGATGAGTTCATGGTGTGATATCGGCGGGGGAGTCGTGTCGTTGGTGAAGGAGCGGAATGAGAAGGTGCTGGGGTATTATCCTTGATGTTTTCAGCATTCTCGGATACGGCCGCTGCCCAGCTCAGCGAATCGCGGGTCTGCACGTACATCAGGGTTCTGGTCAAGATGGTTCGTAATGCGCTCTAGGAGCTGCTTGTTCGTGCCGTCCATCGAAATTCCGAGGGCATAGGCAATGGTCTTGAGGTTGTTCTTCTTCCGCCCTGTCAATGCCCCGCGGAAAACCATGCTCGACGCGTTCATCACACGGTCCCTTTCCTCTTCACGTTCCTAGGCCTCCGTTCATCTTCTTTTCGAGATTTCTCTGCCTCTTTTTCCCGCGCTGCTCAATCGCGTTCCTCGACAAGTCGTAGACCCTCCTCGGAAGTCGAGGGACGAGCCTCAACATTGAGTTTCGGTCGAGCTGATTGCCTACCCTCCTTCGCATTGACACGTTGTTGCATTTGATTGATTTGGGAGCCAGCAAGGGTGACATGAGCACCCAGAAAGCGCGCTTGTCGCTCGAGAGACTCCACATACTCACGAGCGATCTTTGCTCGTTTGGCTGGCGGTGCACTTGCAAAGTCCATTGGAGTGGAGCGACGGGTACCGCGGCGAGATGAAGGGCATGGAGTTACTAAGGATAGGATGGTAAGAGTGGGAAGTGCATGCCAAATTAGGGTCAGCGGACTGTCTGAGACGGCGAAAAGAGCGTTGTATGAGCTCCTGTTACAGCTCGGACGACTTCCGCCTCCCATACCTCGCGTATTTTGTCGACGCAGAGCGCGGTCGACAAAACACAAGACTTGCCACACCACCGATAGCGCAGAGCGCGCCCAACAGTGGTGGCGGTCTTAGGAAGAAAAGTGTGACGTGACTGATACGGTGACGACTCCGCGGGATTATTGCGTGCGCGTGCGCTTTGGAATGGAATAAATAGAAGCGAACGAGCAGCCTGAGCGTCTCACTAATTTCTGCCCTGTGCTTTGAAGCAAATTCTAACCATCCGAACATCAGCGCTGTATCACAGGATCAATGATACATGACGCAACTCCGGGCCATCGTAGCGAATGATGTAAGCAAGCCATGTTGATCCAACAGATCTAGAAACAAACCGAGCGAATTTATACTAGGTACAACAACCAACCCTCTCCAGCGCCTATCCAACGCTCCAACGATCCTCTAACTATGCGGCCTCTGAGCTCGGTAAAGAATGCTATAACGAGGAGCCAACTGGGCAAAAAATTAGACTCCTCCTCCTTGTTGCGTTCGCAAACTGTTCCTCTTCACTGTAAACGAAAGCATTTACCATTCCGCCAACTCTGAATTTGTATATCCATACTGTACATCAAGCCTTTCTCTAGCGTATCAATAGTCTTATCATATAATCGCTGCTTTCCAGGAAGCGTTTCCAAACATCACCAATACTTGGCAATCGGGCTTCTTTCGAAAGCTATGCCGCCAACAAGTGTCTGTTGGCCATCGATAATTTGAACCGCTGGGCGCTGCAAGGTGCGTTCGGTGCTAGGTCCCAGAAAATGGTTACGTTGGATAAGTGTAGCGTCGCTGATATCGAGAGGAATGAGCTCTCTGTAGACAGGGTCAATTAAATGGGTAAAACAGCAAAAGCGCATTGAAACTTACTTGCCGACGACCCAAGCCATGGGAACGTCATTGTGAGGGAGCTGAGTTCCAGCAGAACTGCGAGACGCAATAAGGTCGCCACTTTTGAGTCTGAGCCATCCTAGAACAGATGAAGAACAGGTAGCCGATGGCAGAAAGCAAAAGCTTACCTGATTCCACCAACTCTGATTCAGTTTTGCTTGGAATGGTGAGAGTACGCTCCCATGCCCAAGTCTTTTCTAGTCCCGCCTGAGACGTGTCTTGATGATAGATGTAGACGTCAGCGAAGGTACCATCCTTGAGCTTGATAGCAAAAGGATGGCCCGGGGCCAACGACAGATCGGGGTATTCCTTGCCGCGACCAGGGAGGGCCAAGGGAATCAGGGGAGAATGCGGCAGAGAGTTGGCGGAGAAGACGGGCATGGTTGGATGGCGGGTGAATCGAACGAGAGGGCGAATTTAAGTCGTTCTGGCGATGACGTAGGTCAGAATTTAATCGCAACTCTCGGCCCTAGCGTTGCTCCTAATTGTTCCATGTTTGCGATCGTCAGGAAGGGTCAGGCAGGAAGCGTTCTGAAGCGTTCTGCCAATTCAGATGCTTGGCAAGCATTTCGATATGTTTGTGGTCCATCGGCATTGAAGGGAGCTAGCTTTTCTTTTCTAGCGCGTTGAGCCCATGGCCAAATTAGGGTCAGCGGACTTGTCTGAGACGGCGAAAAGAGCGTTGTATGAGCTCCTGTTACAGCTCGGACGACTTCCGCCTTCCATACCTCGCGCATTCTGTCGACGCAGAGAGCGCGGTCGACAAAACGCAAGACTTGCCGCACCACGGATAGCGCAGAGCGCCCAACAGCGGTGATGGTCTTAGGAAGAAAAGTGTGATGTGGCTGACCTCGTGACCGCGGATCAGCCATCAGCTTTGCGCTTCGTCGCAACTCATTTGGAGTGGACGCGAACGGTTGGTCCTGCCTCCGGTAATTGTCGACCGCGCTCTGCGTCCACAAACCACTGGCGAAGGCTCATCCATGCCGCACTCAAAACGTGGGCTTGGAGGAGCTTTTTTACTACGAACTGCAAGGCGACTCTAAACTGGAATCTAAGTCAGTACACTGGCCCCAGATCTTGCCTTCTTGGAACTTGAGAATAAAATGTCGCCGGGAAGAACATCCATTTCAACACATGTCTACGTTAGTTGGATTCCCACCGAGCTTCCTAACTATGGCACCCGGCGCGTCTCTCTAGAGACGCGCGCACATACGTTCCCCTTAATCTCCTTTTCGATCGAGCTACGCCTAATACGATACTCAGGAGCTACCTCAGTCGTTCTCTATCGCGCCCGACTCAGGTATGCTTTCTTATATCCTACTTTCTCTTGTCTTTACTCATAGTATTACTTGTGCTTTATGTCATACAGGTCCAACATAATAAAGTCGTTCTCTTTTTGCGCCCGACTGAGTTTCAAGCACGACAGAACTCCCGATTTGACTTGCACGCCGAATACTTCACCTGCAGTCTCGAATTCTCCTTGTCAGTAGATTGAATATTTGGCAAAATCGCGTTGATAATCTCCATTCTCAGCGGTAGTCTGTAGAACAACTTGAAAGCAGTGATCGCTTTGGCATATGGAAGTAGTCTACCCAATTCGTAACAGTCTCTAGACAACGATAAAATTATCGCCATGAAACTCGTGTCCTTGAGCCCTATATCGTGAACCATCCGTCAACCATTGGCGTTCCCAAAGCCAGGGTATAAGGCCAACATTATATGACTCTACCAAGACCCGGCAGCAACCTCGGACATCATTGAGCATCCAATGCAGGTATTCTTCGACATCTCCCCTGGGATTTCCGACAGGATGACCATAGCGAATGATGAATTCATCGAGGGACCCGTCGCGTCGTCTTGTTTTGCCCGAGATTGCAAAAAATCGATCACAGGTTGTAATTGCTCTTCTTCATCCGAATGTGTAT